CCTTTCCAACCAGATACCAATGTGTGGAGAAGGATGTATTAGTTTATTATAAAGCCTTCTCATCTTCAGCAACCAAACATGGGTTCCTGGGAGCAGGCATGATCAACAAACCCCTTTCCACCGTATTGTGCATGTTGAAGGATCCTAGTAAGAGACATCTGTATGACAAAACCATTACCATGGCTCAAGTGCATAAGAAAATCACCAGCAACATTGAGCTGGGTGAGTATGAAAAGGAGCAGGTGGGAGAGAAATCATAACCCTTCCCTCCACCCGCTGCTTTCCCCCCTAAAACCCCTCCTCCCAGGTTTCCTGAGACGTGTTTGCTGCATCACGGAAACAAGCAGCTGGGAGAACAGCTAGGTTAATCCTCCGAGTGCTGTATTTTTTTAATGTGAAGTCTGCCTGAAGTCTGCCTAAATGAATGGGGAAATGGTTCTCATTTCTACTCTATGGATTTAATTTCAGTGTACGTGGTGAGTGACGTTTCTTTGTGCTACCAGAAGCAACCAAGAGACTTCTGCTGCATCTCTGTAGAAGCCAAAGAGGTAACTATATCAATGTTCAATAATCTTCACCCAACACAGCGTAAGAAAAATAATCAAAACTAGTTTTGTGATGAAAGTTGGACACCTTTCATACAATATCACTGCAACAATATTTTATTGAATAGCTTTTTACTTACCATAGCATTTTAATTGTGTGTTATATCCGAGCTTTTTTATGCTCTCTATTGCAATTAACTCTATTGTTTGGGGACTTCTTTTTTTTGCTATGTTATGGGTTTTGGTTTATCTGTTGATAGGTGATTCCATAAATTTAATCAATAATTACAATTTTGGATCCCATGCTACACATGGATGGTTGGACACAAATCCGGTGACTCAAATCAGACTGATTGTAGTGATTAATTATTCCCAGTGACTCAAATCAGACTGATTGTAATGAACCGTTCTTTCCTGTTAACAAAAGCAGCTGAACTATATGAAGCCTAGCAGCCTAATTAGCAGAAGAAAGGGGAAACAGCCAGAAAGAGAAACTCCACACTTGTGCCTACTGGGTTTTTCTCAGCGTAGCTCTTTATTCTGATTTCTTTGTGTACAGGAGAATGTGTGCATCCTGGCCATTCAATCTGTGTATGAAGAGTCGATGCCTCGTCCGTGTAAAGATATGGTACGAGGGGAGATTTTGCCCAGTGCTTGGATATTAGAGCCTGATATGGTGAATGGAAAAGATATCACTAAAGTTATCTACATGGTACAGGTAAGTGTCTGTGCAGATCTAGAAACTAGAAGTCTAGCAGGCTTGGGAACCTAATGAAGGATGATTGTGTTCTGGAAGCGGGAAGCTCATGCATGTAGCAGCTGTTTATCATTTAACACATTTGTTGGAACATGTAAAGGGGGCTTCTACTGATCCAGTTTCTACCTGCCTGACAAATGCAACCTCCTTCAGCTAGCCTCCCCCACCTCACTGCAGAGGATACAATTTGGCATGTTTCTACAGAAGCGCTTGAAATGGACTCTCAACGCTTACTGACAAAGCTTTCTTTTATTGCTGCTTCAGGTTGACCTTGGTGCCCCAGCCATCCCTGCAAGGCTTCTGAGCTCCATTGCCAAGCGACAGCCTTTGGTGATTGCTAGGCTTGGCCACTTTCTGGCTGGTTAGGTATGTGTGGTTTACATGGTCCACAAACTCAAAATGTAAGATACCAGCAATGCCAGAACTTGTTTTCTAGACAACTCAAAAATGGGAGGACAAAAGAAATCCTAGGAAAGCTCACTGCACAACACAAAACCACTAAGTAGCACCTGCTTTCGATATGGCAATCGGACACCAAACCTTAATGAAGCATCTCTCGTTCGGCTGAGTTTTCCTGTTCAGCCTTTTAGAGAAATGCAACTTCAACAGAAACAATGGCCAAGCGAAAAGTGTTCCTTTTGCAGACTACCAACATTGGTAGGCGAAAGCCTGGTTGTAACCACTAGCAATTTTCAGTTGAAAACTTTATTCATTCAGACTATTGGAAGACTGCTGATGCTGTAAGCCATGTAAAAAAAACTTGAAACTTAGCGATACGTTTATTTTAAAGGAGCACTTCACCACTGAAGCAAAACTACTGTAATGTCCTTTGCAGAGTGCCTGAACAAAAGGGTACTTGTGAATGAAGAATGCATTGTATTAATCACTGAACAATGTCAGCTTACTGATTGGATAACTTTCCAGTCCTTTCCAGGGGAAGTGAGGGTATACCAAGCTCCAGGCGTTCAACAAGAGTGGGTGGTGTGATAGCCCTTGTGGTCACCATTTGCCCTCAGTCAGAACCATAACTCAGGAAGAGACACACAGAATCATTGCGCCACAAGCCTAAGGGGTTGAGCCACACCAAGCCGACAGCTCAACACAAGAACAGGGACTAGTCTACTGTAGAGCAGCAACTGCTCTATACTTTTGAATAGAAGCTTCTTACACATTCTCTAGTGAAGCCATTAGATTAAGAACTCATCAGATCTCTGTATCAGCAGCAGGTTAAATTATTGTGAAGATAAGCTCAGAGCAGGGTAAATTCACTAAGATGCTTACCCTACCAAGATGAATTTGATTTTAGGGGTCAGTGGAAGCAAGCCCATGCAGAGCTTCTCTGAGGCCTGGGGGTGGGAAAGCATAAAGTGATAAACTCAAACAAAAACCAGCAGTCTCTGGTGGGGCTCCCTGGCTGACTTAGCCCTCCGAGGACCAGGGCAAGTGTACCTAGCTGCCTGCCCCCTCTGTACAGGCCTGAGCAGGAGTTTTTCTTGCTCTGCTCCCAGCTCCACCATGCTTATTGATATTCCCCATGACTCCTTCCTCTTTATTGCATAACTGCACTTTCTGCTGCTCAACGTCTCGTCTGCAGTAACCCATCAAACCCAATTATATCAAATAAATCACGTTATGATTTGTTCCACTCCAATTGTTCATAGTGAAGGAATAGCATCAGCATTCTCTTTCCCAACTCCCCACTTACTCTATAGTGTCCAAAAGCATGTTTTCTTCATGTGAAGGTGTAGACAACTTGATTCAGGTTGTTTCTTAAAATAAGACTCCTAGCAAGCAAGTAGTACAATGGCATCGTATTATAGCTACTGCATCATTTTCTGCCAGCCTGCTCTTTGTCCATTAGGAACTTGCTTCTTGAGCAGTTTTCTTAGAACTTTTCACTGCTCGGAACTTGTTTGCAGCATTCCATGTGAGTAACAGGACCTGACCATGAGCTTTCTTCCCTTTGCTGCAACACTTCTCTAGCTAACGAAGTGAACCTCTTGTTTCTCACAACGGAAACGAGGCAGACTAAGGCTGTTTGCATACATTGTTGGTATGTGAGCTTAATAAGTAAGCTTGATAACTGCTATATAGTAATCCCAAGTAGTTGTGTACCAGCGCCATAGTGTTTCTTTAACTCCTTCCTGCTGTGGCAGAAGCGTGGGGAAGAGGGACACTCCCCTTCCTGCCCCGATTGGTAGACGTGCCTTGGGCTCTGGGATGGTGCTGCCTGGAGTCTGGAGCCTAGCACTCCTGTGTTTTCAAAAAATGGGGGTGGTACTCTGCTTCAAATTTCAGTAATTTCACAAGTCTCATTTAGCTGCTGGTTGTGTAGAAGAGCTCTTAGCACCGCAACTGAAGCTGTAGTCCAATGCACAGTTATTTCAAGACACTTCCGTTGACTCTAATAGGGTTTGCTTCAGAATAAACAGGAATAGGATTGTTAACCCCTTCTGTCAGCATCGATGATGCTATTACAGTTATCAAGAAATCAAAGCACAGAAATTCTATTTGGTTAAAAAAAAAGTTTGGTGAAATATGCCAAATACAGTATTATGGAAATCCTGTGGGGCAATTGAAACTGGAAATGATTTGCAGAATCAAGAACACCAGCTTAGTATTGCCTATAATTATTATTTGGGGGGGAGTATTCTGTAAATTGCCCACAGTACCAGCAATCACATAATTTAAGAGGGAACTAGCAACATATTTTAGGAGATATTTCCAATCACTGGCCAAGTATTTGCTACATTAGTTTGTTTCTTTTTAATTTTTTTGGACATGGCACTCTGTTAACGAACCAAACAGCTTTAGCAGGAACAACATCTAAGATGGACTCTACTCTCAACACAGATGGTGCCTATTGAAGGATAATGTCTTATTGTACAGTGCATCAGATGTTTATTTTTATAATTGCACACAGTTGTTTTTCTATGTTTACAAATTAAGTTATTTATATATGGTTTTATATGCTGAAGCTAATTATTATTTTTCCAGGTATTCGATTAATGTATGCTTTTTAGAAATACTTGATACTTCAACAGTACTATTTATATAATAACTGGTTTCTTTTGCAACTATAACACTATGGTACCTGTGAATGCCTAGAATGAAAAGATTAATCTTAAAGTGAGGCAAAACTATTTTCTGTGAAATCTTCTATTGAATGTGGGGGGAAATATACTCAGTTACTGTACCATATCTTTAGCCCATATCTGCTTTTAACCAAGATTGCTATTTTCATATCCTCACAATAAAAATAATTTTCTATATATGGAAATGACAGAAAAGCTCCATTATTTCCTGGCCTACTTTGACTAGGCTATGCATCAAGAGATGTTGCTAAGCTTGCCCCCCCCCAATCTCTTTCATCGGTTTTCCTTTTTGCCTTGTTCCAGACTTTGTTAATATATTAGGAACAGCAAAAAAGAGGTAATGTAGAAGATAAATGCTGTGAGTCTTGTCTGTCCACCACTACATAAAATGGCAGTTATAGAACTATTGCAACAGCATAATATTAATGGTTTAGCTACAGGCACCCTTAATTTATGCTTTCCACAAATCTCTTCCTTGGATCAAAATCAGTAACATTCAAGTAGCCTAAATTGAAGATTTTGTTATATAGTGAGCGATACCCACATCTAGAGGATTCGTGAAATTTGCTGAAGTGGTTATGCAAAGGATAAAGAACGAATAAGTAGGGCATATACAATCATTTTATTAATTACTTTTTAATAAAGTAAAAGTCAAGCAGGACTCCTGAAGAAAAAGTATGTGGTGCAAGAATAAAGGAAGGGGAGAAGAGGGACTACAGCTCACAGGAAATGTCTGTTTTTATAGGTAAGCCTACAGAGTTATAGAGCACACCCAAGAAAGGATTGTCTTTTAAAACATGCTGGAATGCCAGAGTTTCCAACTCTGCAGTTCTTCAAAGCATTCTATCAAAAAGGGGAAATATTTCATTAAATGCTGCCACTTAAAGCTGTTTCTCTAATAAAAGAAAACCTTCCTTCATTATTTTTTAAAAAAACCATATACTGTACTAAAATCTACATTATGAGCAAACACTCATAAAAAAAACCACAAGCCAATGCTTGGGAAATTGTTGTATTTTAAGACATGATTTGACCTTTTAAAAGGAGTAAAGGATTTAAAATTTTTCAAACTTGAGTTCTTGATAAATAGAAGTCTTACATTACGAGTTCTGCCCCAAAGGCCACACATGAACATTACTAGAACTGAGAATTTCCTAAGTAAAAATCCTCAGACACCTAGGAGTCTATTATACATCTGTTCAGATTCCAGGCTCTTCCAACTTTCCAGAACAGGAATGAGCCTCTGGTCTCCAGCTGCTGCTGGACTCCCATCATCCCTGACAACTGACCATGCTGGCTGCGCCTAATGGAAGCTGAAGTCCAACAACATCTGGAGGGCCATGGGGTCCCCATTGCTGCTCTAGGCCTAAACCCTATATGCTGTCACATGCAGAAACATTGACTTGTTCCTGCAATTCCGATTAAGGTGCTTAAAATGGCTCCTCATGCAACACTGTGTTCCCCTTGAAACATCTGGGCATTATTTGCAGAAGACCAAGGAGGTCCACAGTAATGCCCAAGCGCAACCAGAGCCAGGAAGTGATGAACAATTTCAGCAGCTTTTAAGCATCTCTGTGCTAGCTTTGTGCTGCTACGGGGCCTCTAGACTGCCCCACCAATTCACAGGGCAGGGTCTTTGGTTCTGCAATGCACTCCTCAGAAATAAATATTCGTAACAGTGCTTCTAGTTCCTTGGAGAAGTCCTGTAGAAAAAATGCAGAGCAAAATTTGAATTAGTATAGGGGAATATGCAATTCTTTGGATAATGTAGAGAAGGTTCACAAAAAGCCTTAGCAGAGCTAATCACTATGCTTGCAAGCTGTCCTATTAACACTGCCCATAAGTGCTATTGCTGCTGCTGCTGCTGCATTCTTTTAGTCATTTATACTGACTGCTTTTTTTACCTTACTGTACATGGAGGGCTTTCACTGAAGTACAGCATAATTGCTTTCTAAATAAATAGATCAGCAGCATCATACAGCACTCTTACTTTGGTGTGGTCCCTGTGCCTTTACATCAGTTTGTTCATCTTAATTTTTAGTTCCATGGGAACTGGAAAAAATTAGAAACTTTTATGTAGGCTGAAGCGAGACAGTATTTTCCATTAAAATGTATGGGCTGCCTTTCAACCGCAAAGTGGCTTATACAAATAAATATCATAAAACACTACAATGAAATGACAAGCAGAGAGATGTAGACTGTTTTAAATATACAGGAAAAACTAAACGCCAAGTCTGCTAAAGTAGTCTTTTGCTATCCACATGAAGATTGCAATAGTGGACCTGGCAGATCTTGAGAGGGATTTGCTAGAAGGTAGATCTTTCCATGATGGCACCTATTTCTGGAGGGTGCCCTCACTACACATGGTGGTAGAATCCAAAGCGATGGTCCCATAAACCATCCTGAAACCAGGTGTTTGGGGACATGGGTGGGGAACCTGTGGCTCTCCAGATGTTGGACTACAACTCCTTTCATCCCTAACTATTGGCCATACTGGCTGCGGCTCATTGAAGCAGAAATCCAGCAACACCTAGGAGGACCCGGAGGCTCCCATCCCCTGGTTTAGGGTTTTAAACAGTCAAAGCCAGCACCTTGAATTTAGCCCAAGAAACAAACTGCTAGTCACTTAGTCAGCAAGGAGTTACATGAGATCAGTCTGTAGCTATCACAGCTGGCATAAGGGAAACGAGAAGTAAAGCGTTTGTGTGTTAACTGTGCTCTGAACCCCCAAAAACCTGAAATGGGCATACTTACTGAAGGCCAAGGCAGTTTCTGGAGGTCATGCAAACAGCACTGTATCTCCGTATCTGCCATTAATCCATGCTCAACAAGACCACGAAGCATGAACAAGAACAAATCCCACTGCAAAAGAAACGGAGCATCAGGGCCTCCAAGTAATATGCCAATGAACTTCCTTGTGATTAAAATCCTGCTTAAATGAAAATACTGCCTGATACATCAAGGAAACAGTTGCATGAAATCATACACCAGGAACAAGGCTAAGAAACAAAAGCCACATCTCTCCTACCCAAAATTGTGAGGGCGATTTCACACCAGAAAGGCACACTGCCTAATCGCATTTGCCAACTGATGGGTTTGGAAGGGGCAGGACAAGAACGAACCCAGCTGGTAAGGCACAAATGCCATGAAGCCGTCTTGCACGGAAGCCTGCAGCTGTTTCTCCCGCTAGCCAAAAGTTCCAAATTGGATCCTATGCTTTTTCCCTAGATGGGAATGCTACTAATTGGTTATGTGTGCTGACCTTTGGAAGGCATAAAGTGTTCCACCAATAACAAGTTCATCTATCTAAAAGCCTGGAGGTATATCATGCTCCCGACATGAACTTCTGAGGATTCTGAAACTTCCCTGGGACTAGGCACAGAAAGATGGAAGAGGCAGAACATACATACATACATAGGGAGGCAGGATCACCTAGCTTAATTTCTCCGGCACAGCTGGTCTCCATTCCTTATATCACCTTCTCAGTTTGTCCATTTATTTATTTATATTTCTTACAGGATTTCTTACCTCCCCTTCACTGTAAACTCCCAGGGCAGGATATAACAGTACAGCCATACAATTTAAAATCTACCTAAGTGAAGAAAAGGCTAGGACTGCAGGAGGGGCTGGATGGGTTTTAGGGATAGCGTAAACCAACAGCTGTCCTGCAAAGAACTTACATTAACCAGTAACAAGATTACAGCGTTAAGACAGTTATTGAACATCTCTATTAAGAGTGTCTATTTGAAACCAAGTATTGTGCCTTGCAACAGTAACCACAAAGCTTTTGAGTGTAACCAAATAACATTCCTGCTTTGTTTTAAAAGTGCTTCATCCTTGTAACATCTTGCTGCCGGTAAATAAGAACGCCACCACAAAGAGTTACTGCTATACTATCTCTGCTGTGGGAATACAGGGAGAAATTAACACTAAATAGTGACCACGTTAACCCAGCACCCATCGGAAATGAGGATGTCTGTCATGCCCCTCCCAGGCAAAGTAAGTGTTTACCAGTCCCCGTCCCCCCCAAAAAAAGAAAGTCAAAAAACTCACAAGTGTTGTCAACCTGGTGGCCAAGAAGCCTTCACTTGTGCCAGCTTGGCAATTCCTGAACAAAATATTTATTTCCACATAAGGTAAAGGTAAAGGGACCCCTGACCATTAAGTCCAGTCGCAAATGACTCTGGGGTTGCGGCGCTCATCTCACTTTACTGGCCGAGGGAGCTGGTGTTTGTCCACAGACAGCTTCCAGGTCATGTGGCCAGCATGACTAAGCCGCTTCTGGCAAACCAGAGCAACACACGGAAACGCTGTTTACCTTCCCGCTGGAGCGGTACCTATTTATCTGCTTGCACTCTGACGTGTTTTTGAACTGCTAGGTTGGCAGGAGCAGGGACCGAACAACAGGAGCTCACCCCGTTGCAGGGATTCGAACCACCAACCTTCTGATCGGCAAGCCCTAGGCTCTGTGGTTTAGACCACAGCGCCACCCGCATTTCCACATACTTTTACCTATATCTCTCACTGGCATCCTTGCAGAAATAGTATGTGACAACTTTACTCTTTCACTGAACAGTGAAAGCCAAGCACTCCCCAGTCTTATGTTAGATTATGCCAAAGGTAAGGAGCATAAGGAGGTTTAGCAAGTGGCTCTGAAAGCACTCAGAAGCCCCCCACCTTGTCCTGTTTGTTTTCCGCAAGGGAGGCAGCATTTTTCCTACTGAAGATCAGCTGCAAGGGTACAGGTGCCTCAAAGTCTTCTTTCCAGATGGAGAGCAGGGACTTCAGAAGGCTAGAGATGAAGCGGTTCTTTGCTTGCTGCTGCTCCTGCTTCTTTGGGGCTGGGAAGGTCAGCCCATGGATAGGAACACGATCTGAAACTAGAAGCAACTGAGATAGAAATGCTGGACTTCCTCATGTGAGTTATTTTTAATTCTGAAAAAGTGACATCGTACCATGATGGGGGCAACTCTTTCCATCCACGCAAGAGGAGAAGGGCTTCAGGAACCTCCAGGGTATGGGGTGAGCCCTCTCGGTTTAGGAGGCCTTCACAGCTAACAAATGAACTCAGCTTCCCCCAAATACTACTGTGGGATCATGCCTGGACCCTGCGATCACGATCTGAGGCCCTTCTTCGTGTGCCTCATCCATGAGAGGTCCAGAGGGTGGCAACACAGGCCTTTTCTCTGGTGGCTTCCCATTTGTGGAATGCTCTCTCCAGGGACGCTCACCTGGTGCCTTTGTTGCTAATTAAACAATCTATGGACTGACTATACTTGTTATAGTTTATTACTATAGTACAGTGGACACTCAAGTTGCGAATGTGATCCGTGCAGGAAGCACGTTCGCAACCCACAGTGTTCGCAACCTGCAGCGCCACGTCTGTGCACGCACGGGTTGCAATTCGGCGCTTCTGCGCATGCGCAAGCACCGAAACCCGGAAGTAACCCGTTCCGGTGCGCAACCCAAAATCGTGCAACCTGAAGCGTCTGTAACCCAAGGTATGACTGTATTTTTGTGTTTTTATATTGTAAACCAGATGGTTCTCGCATAAGAGTGGTATAGAAAATAAATACATAAGCAAGCAAGCCTTGACGGTTTGATACCATTCAGGACAGCCACTCCTCCAAAATGAGATAGTCTAATTAAGATTGAAGGGAAGAGGAACAGGGATGAGAATTACAGCTCTTACCTAGAAGGGAAGCCAGCTCTACTGTGCACTTGGCCAGTTGCTGCTCTGACGCTGGGCATATGAACTGAAAAACACAAAGCTGAAAACTGACTACAAAGAAATGCTTTCACAGGTACAGAGAATGTATCTGAGGCTGCTATCTTATCAAACACTTTGCATTTTGAGTATTCAAGTATCGCAAGCAATTACGAAGACATGCACAGCTATGGCTTTATATACAGGCCAGCAGGGGCTTTGAGTCTTTCCCAGTGGATAAAAGGGTGAGAGCTGTAAACTAATACATGTATGTGCCTTTCATATGATTTACAAGCAAATTCCCTAACAAGTAAACCTTAGGAGGGCAGTTTAATTTAGAAATTCTCTCGCATACACAGGAACCATAAGTTAATTAGGAAAAGTGAAAACAACTGCTGAACCTAGTACATATATTAACACTGCTCCTCCACCCTCCTCTCTTTCTCTCTCCATCTCCACTGCTGATAAAAGGCTATGTCAGAAATAATTCTGCAAGTAATGCACTCATCTCTACCTTTCTGCATCCAAGGGTCTGGCTCAACCGTTCCAACAAATTTTCCAAATCGGCAAACTGGACTGCTTCATCCTCATTCCTTGGGCCGACAGCAAGGCACAGCACATCCTAGATATAACAGCATTTGTGACTCAGAATGCACGTATATGTTCTGGAATCCTAGAGAGCTCTGCTAACCATATAGAAAAGACAAAATATCACAGTGAAGCCTGAGAAACGGCAAAGAAGGCAGCACAGGGCTGGGCTATCCCACCCATTTCCCCATCAAATAAGCCTCCTTGTAGACAAGGATGCTCAGAAATATGTCACATAGTAAAAGCTTGGGGTGGGAGAGTGGTAGCTGTCGCCATCAAATGAATTACTAATGGGAGCAAGTTACCTAAAGCAGAACCTCCATAGACTGGATCCTTATCCGGACTGGCCTTACAAGCCAAATTGGGTGGTGCCACCTACCTGTTAGTCACGTGGCATCACCAATGACATCACATGATTGGCAGGCAGGCAGCAACCACCCAGCTCTCAAAATGTGTCAGGTTTCCAAGAACCCAACAGCCGGCTGGGAACCTGTTGCAGCTTCAAAGCTGCTTTGCCCTGGCAGCCACCTCCATTCTCCTTTAAAGGTGGGGTGGCAGCTCCTTTGAGGTTTTTTGCAAAGGACTTTCAGATGAAACCCCCACCCCTGTTTCAGCCTCTGAGGGAAATGGCTGGAAGTTCCCTACCATTACCTAAAAAAGGATCCCCTCCCAGGCCCACAGATGATCTTTGGAGGCCCTGCTTTGTCTGCACCCACAAAGGTGTCACAGACAGCTGCTGGGGAGAGGGCCTTTTGGGTGGTGACACCCCAGTTGGTGAATGCTCTCACTTGAGAGGCTCGCCTGGCCTGCCTGCCTCTGCAACTTTTTTGGTGCCAAGTGAAAACCTTTTTATTTTTATCTAAAATCTGTTTATTTAATTTCTAAGCTGTATTGCATTGTTTATTTCACAATTTTATTGTTACTGTAAACCACCCAGAGAATTTTGTCATCAGGAGACATATAAATATTATTAATAAATAGCCAGAATAACAACAAAGGTTAAGAGGAGAGAGCAGCGGATTCATACCTTGATTTCGTTTATGATCTGTGAGGGGAATGCAGCCTGATGCTGACAGTCTGGAGAGCACCCCTTCTTCTTCTGCACAGCTTCACTAGTACTAGGCAGAGAAAGCGCCTGCGTTTTCAGCATGCGGCTGAACGTGGCCTTCACTTCTCTCTTAATCAAGGCTGTAAAAGGAACCAAAACATACACTCGCTTTCACACCCTGGACACTGAAAACCAGACACTCATTACATAATACAGAGCCACCTCCCTGCATCAGCCTTATGGGGTTCCTCCTTTAATATCAGCATTCAGATGGCAGTTCACCTCTGCAAAGTTCAAGCTGCATAATCTGAACAAGAGAGGGCAGCCTTTCTGGAGTAATCTGTCAGGGGCTGGAAGGCAGCAAAACAGGGCCACTTGTTTCAGTTGTTTATATTACCCGCTTCTCATTCACTTCCCTGCCAGCAGGCTGCCAGCGAGAGACTGATCCCTCTCGCAAGAGTTCTGAATCGGGCCTGGAAACACCCATGGAGCCAATGAAGTGGTTTCAATGAAGTGCAGTAACATGCTCCCCACCCCCAGCTCCAGTTAGCATCCTTGCTGCCACACTTTGAACAAGTTTCCAGACGCTTTTTAGAGGCAGCCCCATGTAGAGTGTGTTGCAGTAGCTCATATGCGATGTATCTAAAGCAGTGTTTCCCAATTGGTGGTCTGTAGACCTTCAGTCGCATGCTGATGCCCACCCAGGGGGTCTGTGGCATGTAGCCATCAGCTATGTGGGGCATCTCACTGGGGGGGATGCATTCACACAGGTCACATGACTCATGCAGGAGTATGGCCAGAAGATGCACATCCCAGTTTTGTGCTGGGACACGTTGGAGGGTATGGTAGCACTTTTCAAGCAACAAAACATTTTCAAAAGTAGGGGGTCCATGGCTTGGCTTTTGAAAAACGAGGTCCAAAGTACTTAAGATAACTGGGAACCATAGATCTGCCTCTTTCAGAAACAGACACAGTTGGCACACCCGCTTATACTGGGAAAAGGTCTTTTTCGCCACAGCCACCAAATGGCACACAGGGGTTAAGCACATAGAAACAGTGGAAAAGCCTACCTGTGATGTTGGTGGTGAGCCAAGTGCAGGCCTTCTCGGTAGCTAGCCCCACCGCAATATTTGCTGCACAGCTCAAAACCTTGGGTGGAAGAGCAGGTGAGATTTATAGTTATTTCTACTGATTACATTCAAGGCTGTGAATACACTATCAACAACAGTCACAACAAATCAATACAAAGCTGCAGCAAGCACAAGAAATCAGATGGAAAATTAGCCTCGAATGAAAATTGAGGGACTGATTTTGGTTTCTCACCATCCTGCTGAAACGATAAATGGGGATTGGCTTTGGCTCCTCCAACTGCTGCTAAAATGTTGATTAAGAGGAATATAAAGCAACTGTTCCTTGAATGGCCCAATATGGCAATTGGAACATTTTTTTTTGTAGCTGGAAAAAATGCAGAGAAGTATTACTTGGGCCTTAAGAGCTAGGAACTGTCACACCTCCTTTTAACGTGACTGACTGAATGAGGATGTTGAGATTTTAGAAACAGCTTTAATGTTTCAATGCTTGCTTGTTTTAGCAAAAAGGCCTGGCTATTTTAGATGATCACGAGGTTCAGAACTTTTTGGCTTCTGGCCATTTTTAAGTCACCGTGTAAAAAAAAAAAAATAAGCACAATTTTCCAATGTAGAAAAAGCAAAAAGAAAGCCTCAGAAAAAAAGGACAAGTATCCTAAAATATACATACTGCTGCAGATGTCTCTTCTGGCAGCAAGATTTTCACAGCCTCAGGGGCCTTCTTCCTGCAAAATCTGTAGATGTACATAGGCATTATAAAAAGCACCGCCTGAAACATTATATGTAAGACATGATATTAGAAAATCTGTATTTTTAGTCCCCCCAGGGATGCAGCCCAAATATGAATTCAAATGGATTCAAATTGCTGGGAGTAACTGAAAGCAGAACAGTTTCCTACTCAGCTCCCTCTAAAGTTGGGTACCTACACCTGAAAGCCAGAGGGGAAACTGAGCCAATCTGCCAGTTGGCTGATACCAAGGTGAGAACTGAAGTGACCACATACTGGGCGCAGTCTCAATGTGACAGCCCAAGACAGCAGCATGACCACAAGGGAAGATCTATCATGTCACCCAGCTGTTGTTCCTTACTCTTTGCCTTGAGTAAGAGCCTGTGCACCTTCTTCATACAGCTGAGAGCACACTTCATCCAGCAGTTTGTCGTAATTGCCGACTTCCGCCTTCACTTTGTCCTGTAACATGACTTTGGCTCTTTTCACCAGCTCTGCTACCAGAGTTGCCCTGCAAAAGCCAATAGTAATAGCACAATAATTAAAAAACAACAACCAAAATATATCCTGAGAAATTACAGGTTCAGAATTTACATCCTGAATCAGGTTTGCAGGAAAGCCTTCTATTAATGGTTTGGATACCATGGGAAACTATAGTTTAACACGCGTCTGCTGTGAACCTAGGTGCATGAGAGGGAGAGACTCTTGAGCATCTCACTGCCAATCCAAAAAAACAGGGTTTGTTGACCTAGAAACATAATGGTGTGTGTGCCAATCTTAACATTTTCCTGTTGTTTATTACTGTAGGTCATGGCATAACTCTATATAAAATATAAGTGATACCATGTGGATAAAGCTACAATATAAGCAGGCAGCAATCACACATGCACAACCTTATCAAAAGAGCCTAAAGAGTGTGTGTGTGTTACATTTGCCACAGAACTCACACTAAAAGTGAATTAAGAAGGGGAAGCATTACAAAACAGACAACAAATGAGAACAAACATAAAGGAGCTTAAAAGCAATGTACTGGAGATTTAAAAGAGTAGGAAAATAAAAGTGTCTTTGCCAGGCACCAAAACGACACACAGAGAGGAGCCAAGCAAGCTTCTGTAGTGAGTGAGCACAAAGGCTTAGCACTTACATTTAATAATAAAACCAGTTGATGATCTCACTCAATATTTCTCACATTTCACAATTCACCATCACCATTTGCTCTACTGACAAATTTCACAACAGCAATATAAGGGATGCACAAGACTAAGAGCTGTATCAGTAAAACCCACATGCATGTCCTTGCATCATTTAAAAGCTGCCTGCTTATATGGGGAAAAGATCTTTTGGCGTAAATTCTCCCCACCAGACCATTTATGAAGTCCATCAGGTTACAGGTGCCTTTCCTGCCCTTACTTGATGTGCTTGACACAGTTGGATCCAATTCTCTCTGCCACAAATTCTACAGTTCTCCGCAGAGATGGGGGCTGATTGTGGAAGAAGGCTTGTTCCAGCTCTGCCTGTTAAAAACAGGAAGAACAAGAATCCTAAGGAAACCAAAGCATTCTACATGAAGCATTGCCCCCCCCCCAACACGAGCCATTCCTAAAGTATATCTGAATGCTTTGATTGTTTATTCTTTGATTGGCATTTTTTAAATTTAAGGGTGGTATCCAACTAAATTTTATTCAGGGCAGACCCACTGAAATGAGTGGGCATAATCAATCAATTTCAGTGGGTCACCTCTGAGTAAATGTTAGTTGAATGCCACTACCCTTGAAACAAAACATCAAAAAACATCAAAAAATAATGTCCCATAAATGGGGAGCAAGGAACAAGAGACAAATATAAAAAGCAAGTTGAGTTTTCAATCGACTGGCCTGCCCCCAAAATAAAGACTTTTTAATGCTTGCATATGCTTTATTTCATGAAATTTATATACTGCTTGATTGTAAAAAAGAAACAAACAAACCCACCCACCAAAACAGTTTTTTTAGCATTTTATAAGCTTGGCAGCAAATTCAGGTTTTTCCTAACTCTGTTCTCTAATTCCCTTTCCCATTTCTTTATTTAGCTAGGGGTCAATTACCTCTTGCATGCTTGCAATTCACACAAAATTAGTGGCATAGGGTATATGGCTACTTATTGCACAGCTCCACTAAAAAAATAAAATATCAAAGTGCAAGTTGAGAAATTACTCCTTGAAAAAATCCAGCCTTCCCCAACCTGCTGCCTTACAGATCTTGCTGGACTCCAGCTCTAATCATCCCAAGCCAACAGGACCAATGGTCAAGGATGATGGGAGTGGCAGTCCCAAAACACCTCTCACCTGAAGCTTCTGCTGTGTGATGGGAGGCTTTGGAACCAAGGTCTCAGCAGCAGTCGGAGTTATTTTCCTTACATAACCACCATTCTTTCCTCCGCTTCCCAACACAAAAGACGACAGCAGTTTCCTCAACTCACCTAGAGCAGAAGGATACGCGGATTACAAGACGGCACACGTAGATATCTGAACACTCTGGTTTTTAAAATTCAATCTGATTGACAATTTTAAAATTTAGGGGTGGTATCCAACTAACTTTTATTCGGGTCAGACACAACGAAATGAGTGAAATATAATTAAATCCAGGAGGAGTTGGAGACAGAAAATTGCAGAGAAGTGTATGAGACTGAACACTGGAAGAAAAAGCAGCCATGATCCCAACCACACTTGAGTAGGAACTCAGAATCATAAGCAGTTCAGGATGTTATTCACGGTGAATGGAAAAGCAAGGACAAATCACCAAATAGTATTTCCACAGGTCACAACCCCCTAATCTGTGGGCCCAGTTTAAGTGCCATACTGAAACACGCAAAAAACCTTTTAACAGATAATTGTAACTCAATTTTGGAGTAGGAAGCTCAACGTTTTATCCCTAGATGCTCTTTCCACTGCCAGGCAAAGGAGAGATTCCAGATTTCTCAAGCAGCATATTGTTTCTGACACAAGACATACAGTGGTACCTCGGGTTACATACGCTTCAGGTTACAGACTCTGCTAACCAAGAAATAGTACCTCGGGTTAAGACCTTTGCTTCAGGATGAGAACAGAAATTGTGTTCCGGTGGTGCAGCAGCAGCAGCAGCAGCAGGAGGCCCCATTAGCTAAAGTGGTGCTTCAGGTTAAGAACAGTTTCAGGTTAAAACGGACCTCCGAAACAAATTAAGTACTTAACCAGAGGTACCACTGTACTTTGAGAAATCACTTACCAAGATATGGACAGCAGGTATAAAGTAACTGCTGATCCACCACAGGCACAGAATCCTAAGGGGAAAAGAACAAACAACAGATTGATTCCTTTCAGAAGCATTAGATAAGTGCACAGAAGTCCACAGACTTCTCTTTATTCTTCAGGTCACTCTTAGGCTTCGCGTGTCTTAAACAAATAACATTACAGTTGCTCTCTTTCAAACACACCCGCCGACACTCATCTACGTAAGTTTACCAGAGCTTGAACAGTTGCTGCAGAGTCTGTTGCCAGTTCTTCTGATCTCACTTCGCCCGCAAAGAACAGATTCCCTGGGACAGTAGGCACCTGGAAGACAAGCCCCAAATAGTTAATTCTCCAAGGAGGGCAGAGCTAAGCAAAAATTCAGCTTCACATACAGGAGTGGATGAATGCTTACATGGGTGAAACACTTAAAAGGCTTAAGGAAAGTACAGTAAGGAAAGTTTTACTTGACGATTTCTACAGGGCTTGTGAAGTTTTTTCAAAGGTACAATGTTTGTTACAAACACTCATCCGTACATGAAAAAGCCATCCCAAAATGGCAAGGATCAGCAGCTTGTTCAGGAAACACATCTCTTTATTTTCAGAAATCAGCAGGTATCTGTAACAAAAGGTTACAGAATAGAGAACAATAAACTTCAAAGGTTTTATCAGTTTTACCACCTCTGCATTTCCCCCTTTTGCAAGTTTCTTTTGCTGTACTCTCTCATTTCCCTTGCATATTAAAACTCTGGCCCCATTTGTGCCCCGCAGGAAACCCGTAAACAAGACATGCACTAGTGCAAGCTACTACATTGTTCCTATTTCCCTCCATTATTCATGAAGCCAGGGCGTAGCATACAAAAAACCTTGGCTTACCGTGATATGTGAACCAATGTGTGTGGTTTGTTTCTCCCATGGTAAGAGCCATGACTCATGGTTTGTTACTCCTGGCTCCATGAACAAAGGAACAAAATGGGAGCAATTCAGAAGAATGTACTAGCGTGCTGCTCGTTCACTGTAAGCTATGGTTTATGGTTAACTGTACAACACAACTACCATTTGAAATGCACTACTGGAAAAAATTGACTTTCAACTTCTTCATTTGTTTCTGCAAATATTGAGATGTAATGGAAGGATGTGAACATTTGCAGCTAGAGGAATATGATATATATCAAGTCATCAGCGGAGCGTTCCTATACTGTGGTAATTACATATTTAACTCTGTGCTATAAATTTCTTGGTATATACTGTAAAAGAAAGCTTTAAGTCGTTTCCGTAGACCCAGAAATTGTTCATGAGTACAATAAAAGCTTTACTAAGAAGCCAATGTCCTACCCTCACAAGAATTTAGGTCCTTGATGCAGATCTCAATTAAGATGCAAATATTTCTTTCCAACCTCTTACCTGTACAGCTGCAAGAGGAGAGCAAATATCTTCCCATAGTAGTCCAGAAATGGGGCGATATGATCCATAAGGGAAAGGAACTCTACAACCCAAGGTACAGTCAAGACCGTGCATCGTTTCTGTATTGATTGCCTAAGCAGCTTCAATATATCCAGCACAGGATGGGTCTTAAGGGAAAACATTAGGAAAATGTTAACTTTCAGCATTACTTACTATCATGGGCAACCACCAGATGTTTGATGATGAACCACCAAAAAGTAGGAAAGGCAAATAAACATATCCAACTCCTCTTTCATTTCTGTCCCTATTTCCCTCTATCGGGTTCTCTTTCCTTCACCACTAAGAGGAAAACTCTTTCCTTGGCTAATTTGTGTGAACAGAACACGCTCCTCTTGCAGAGATGGAGGTAAGCCTTGAGCACACAAGCACCTGGGCTTATTATTCAGGTCTTGTTGCATCTTCCTTTGTATACTTTTTAATTTGGCAAAGAAAGGGGGGTGTTTTTAGCTAACATCACTCAGAGCAGCTAGTTAAGTTCTGAGCTCAAAAAACAGTTTTTGTGGGGAAGTGGGGCAGGGAAGACAGAAAGACACAAGCGTGCAATCAGTTTCACATATCAAGGAAAGGTATCAGAGCAGTATCTCAGAGAGACCCAATATATTTTGGATATGAAGCCTATTCAAATCCAGCAATCTCAAGTCACTCATCTGGCTAAACTGTATTTCAAATGGTTGTACCCTGCCCTATGACCCTGGAGTGAAAGGCAGGTAATAAATTGAAATAATAATAAGCACCCCTCGCGCTTTCCACATTCAGCCGGCACACTGACAAACCACACAGCACGATCTGATGTCAAGAGAGCCAGTGCAGTTTAGCAACAAGAGTGTTGGACTTCGATGTGAGCGGGTGGGGAGGCATGAATCTAGTAAACAATATAACTGCAAATAATGGTCCATGGAGACTATTCCAGAGGAGTAGTTTGTACAATGTACTGAATTAGTTATTGACATTATGGGTTACTTGTTTGGAGCATCCCTGTAGCAGAGGTTTACATCAAAAAGGATGCTTTCTGCAAACGGGCAAGCTTCTGATGCAACTGTGTTCACCAATAAATGAAACACTTCCCCTTCCTTCCATATCAAGAGTGTCGTTAATTCATATGGCTGTACCGCATGAGTAACTCAATCTTCCCTCAGTTTATAGCAGCAACACAAGCAGCATCACTGAAACAATAATAGTGCACAGCAGGGGGAACCTGCAGCCCTCTAGATGTTGTTGAACAGCTCTCAGCATCCTCTCAGCCTCACAGGAGCTGTGACTCCCCAACATCTGCAGGACCACAGGACCCATCCATCCCCATACTGGAGGTTGCTTAACTAGGAAAGGAGTTAAAACAGCAAGTATCTACCACCTCAGGAGGAGCCCAGAGGCTCATCTAATGAAATGCCTGCACATCTCTCTGATAATAACAAAACTAAATACTTCTGTTAGGTAAATGTGGCTGGTTACGCACTTGGTTTCTTAACATCACTGCAGATTCTAGCAAGTCTCCAGTCACTGGTTCTGATGTGTGATAAGGCAGGAAGACAAGGAAACCAAAAAACTTTGCCAGAAGTCGTAGGCTCATGAGGACAGCAGCAAAACGCTTCTTTTCATCCTGCAGTGGAAAGAAAAGCCAGACATATTATAGCCACAGATAACAGCAGCAATGCCTAACGTTTTGAATGCTCACAACAAACCTATAAGTTAAATCTTATGTTCCCACTTTGGTGGTTCGTTTATTATTATATTTTGTGGGGTGTGCAGCAAGGACAGGACTATCCAAATCAGAGACAAATCAGCATGGTGGTAGCAGTCGCAGGTCTACCTAGGACAACTGGGGCTCATCAGAGAACGCTACTGTCTTCTATATACTTGCACTGTGTTGGAGAAGGAGTGGGATGGGGCTAACACTGCAGCTACCACCCAGGCTTTCTACTGTTGCCCCACCACTTGGACCGGGGGGGGAGGGGTTGGAGGAGCAATGATGGAGGAGTTGAGGCAGGGGGGACATCACAGGCGAGAAAGACCGTGTGAAGGACAGACACCTCTTTTCAGAAAGGACAATGCAGGACAGAAGGGAGGAGCAACAAAAAGAGAAGTAAAGGAGACCCACACTAGAACAGCAACATGTTATTAAAGACAAATAGACAAAGAAAGACAAACAATGAAGGCCCCAAACCAACCATGAAACCAATAGAGACAGAAAGGTTGGGGGGGGGGAGGAGAGAGAGAGAGCCACGAGCCAAATTCTTCCTTTCCAAGCAGTAGGAGAGATCATAACCCACATGGACACCTCTGAAGCTCAACTGTGAATGGCTGTTTCTATGCAATACACACCTGTTCATCCATTGCTTCTCCATCACTGGGTTCATGTTCCACCAAGGCAAGGCCATCCAGCTCAAGTATTTGCAGGCTCAGGCTGTCCATAAGGTGCTGATTAAATTGATAACTTAACCAAAAAAAAGATAATGAGCTCTTTAGGAGAACAACTTAATTTAAGCAAAGAGTGTAATCTCTTAAGCGACCACAGCAGCATTTGAGAATGGTTACTACAACGCAAGTTTAAAATCTGATTAATTCCTACCAAACCCCTCACGTGCTGGTAGTCAGCACTGCTGCAAACACTGCCAAACACTCCTTGGTGAAGCCCGCATAATGTCATTCTAGCACCAGGCAAAGACCTTATTCTTTTCCAAAGCCTTTTCATCTAAACCGTTTTCTTTCTGCAATGATCTTATGCTCATCTGTTTAGGTTATGAATCCAGCTAGTAAACAATGTGTGCTTTACTGTGAACGTGCTGATTTCAACTGCTTTGTCCCTCCTTGCTAACACACAGGAGAAACACAATCCCTGGCTTAGCATGATGTCCAGACACGGTTTGCTTCGCTCCAAAGAAACCAAGAACACGAAATCAATATTAGTATGTTTATCATAAACTAACCATGGTTTACTGTGACACTGAACAAGGCCATTGCATTATTTTATTTAGAAAACCCAGCCACCACCATACAGTCAGGGTCACTCACCCAGACACATCCTAGATAGAAATAGCAATAAGTATCGAACCTTCCTGCACTGAGGATGAAGTCCCTGAAGAACTGCTGGCATCCAGGGAAGGAGGGAGGTGGGCAAGGCCCTCGGATGCTCTGAGGGACAAGGAATCTCTCTTGCAGCCTTTTCAAGCGGCTCAGATTATCGGAACCCAGCATGTTAAGGACATCCTGGTCTGGGGTGTCTCCCCAACTTGTACCACCACCAACTGGACCTTTACACATCTATGGCATAGAGGAGGGAGCGGGGAGAAAAGAGAGGTCAAATTTGTGAGTGTGCTAACTTTAACTCTGTGATCTGATTATGAATACAAGCAGTCTCTACAGCCCAAACCATAGACTGTTAGGTGGATGTACCTCAGACTAACTGAGGAAATTAGATTATGAATTAATTATGCATTCAATGAACAAGTATTTTCACCTATTAGATATGAACTGAAGAAAAGTTTTACTTGCAAAATATACCCTTTTTTTCCTTATGGGAAGCGAGCGTTTCTTTACCTGAAGAAGCTGCTTCTGAAAGAGCCTGGCAAAATGGCTGTAGTTGCAAGCAGCAGAGAGGTGAGCCATCATGACCCTGTGAAACCAGAAACAAATTAATAGTGCTACAAAGAAAAATAAGGAAAAAATTATTCTCTATGCGGATATATAGAAGACAGCAAATGTCTGGGGGACTTAAATGTTTTAAAAGTAATTATGAAAATACTATTCTGAAAAAGTTCTATGTGAACTGAGAATTCTCCCCTTTGTGAAACTAAGTAGCTTACTGTAGAATTAGTTTTTGTTGCTAAATTGGGTTGCAAAATGTTCATTACCAGTAATACTCTCTTGTAACTCTTGTCTTTCAGAATTAAATGCAACCTGTGTGTTGGCACTCAAAGACATTTGCATCTTCAACTTATCTTGGAATGTTTACCCCTCTTTTGGTGGGGGGGGGGAGAGAAAGGGTGGTAATTAAATTACAGTCTTTGAGACCCCATTATATCAAAACAAATAAATAAATTTCTTATTTAGTGTAAGAACTAAAACAAAAATTTAAACTGAGGTTTTCTTTTGTCCAAAGTAATGATTGCAAGTTTATTAGGTAACAGTGGTGTCATGGTCTTAGGACCAAATGCAAGTCAGTTTTGCAACATGTCCCAGCATACCACTGGATCTAATCCATAACACTGAACCAAGTATATCATCAGAGGCAATTTCCAGCTGTTGCAAACTGTGCCTTAAAAACAATCCTCCCGATGGAACGTGGTGAACAGCTGCTCAGTGGAGGACCACACTAGACATCAGCAATGAGCAGCCCTCTGTATCAAGTCTTGTTAAATTTACAGACCAAAGATTCCTACCTGATCCTGTCTCCCAGACACTTCTCAAAGTCCCAGCCTGTTTTTTCACAGTTGTCTTCCCATTCACGCAGCAACTCGTAGAAAATATCTCTGTTGAGCAAGGCAAACATGTTAGCTTCAAAATCTAAAATCATAGTCATCAGGTGTACTATCAGCATACAAAAATGGGGCCATGTTATTCTGCTTATGCACAAGCACCACAGTTCCGACAAAGCTTTGGGTGGAATTCAATGTCGCATGAAGTTGACTGTTCTGTCTGCACAAGAATTTTTGCTTGTCAAACAGAACCATCTTCCCTCTCCCCCTGCTGCCTGCTGTTCTAGGGGTCCCTCCCAAGCAGACTTAGGAAGGTCACTTGAAGGGGGGTGTGAGAAAGAGAGAGGCAGGAAAGGATCCTTTGTGCAACCAGGACTGGCTTCTGCTAGCAGAACAAATTAGTTGAATTTGACCATTCCTACAAGACACATTCCCTTTGACCATTCCTACAAGACACATTTTCATTCCAAAGCCGACAATTGACAAATATCCCCCTAGTTAAAGAAAGGTTCGAGAATAAAGACCAAAGAACATAGCAGGCACACCTACAGCTGAACCTTAGATAGGTCTACTCAGAAGTAAGTCCCACTGAGTTCACTGAGGCTTAATCCCAGGCAAGTGGGCTTAGGCTTGCGGCCTTAAGCCGCTATCTTAAAAGCACAAATACTCAGTAGAAAACTCCACTTAAATAAATTCAAACAACACATTGTATGGAAAGTACTTTAAACAGAAGGTGGGCATAGGGAGAGCAGAGGAGGCCATATCTTCTACTACTTTTGACCTGAGAAAGCCAAATGAGTTTGCTCCAGCTGCAGGGAACCCCTGTCTTGCCAATTTCTGCATTTCTGAACTGCATTAATCAGCCTTGTATTTAACAATTTCCCAGGAATCCCATACAGGTGGGTAAGCTGGCCAACTTCCTCCACAGCTAGCATGGAAACCAAGTGGGCTAGACAGAGTACTGCAGATATTGTTCACTGGGTAGAAGGTGCATTTATTATTTTTTATTACTCTCTTTTTCTACGCCACTAGCTTCTTAGCAGGCTAGTAAGAAATTCTGCCGATAAATGTGTTTTGTGGGCTTATTCAAAAGGCTGACATTAACATCCAGACACTTGTTCCTGGTTTCATAAAACATAATTTATGAAGCTTGGGAGGAAATGTCCAAACCAGGCCTGTGGCTTTGGATAACTGATATAGAGTCTTGACAGCTACTCTATTCTCTGATGCACGTTCAATAAACTAAAACAACTGACAAATTGTACATTTTGGCAAAATCCCATGATAAAAAACAGAGGATACCTTTGTTTCTTAAACACATGAAATGCCTTATCACTGGAAAAGTTAGACCGGTTGTCAGTTTCTGGCTGAAAGGAAACTGACTGTATGCTTGAAGGCAGCAGCAGGGAGACCTGTTCAATATACAAAATAATGTGTAAGTGTAATACATTCCTCCTAATTTAACATACTTTTCACCATAAACACAAACAAGGAGGTTGCAATTACAACTTGTTCTCCCTTCTGTCCGTTGCTACAGCTTTAAAGTCCCATGATCTTAATGGTGTAACATGTACTAACTTGCCGGTTTGCAATAGATCAACATTTTCTAACCCACCAAATGCTCGTCAATTTCATTATCTCACTCTGGTTTTTGTTTTGGTCACAGTGCTAGATATAGTATTTTCACTCCTCATTTAATTACAGCTGCAGAGGAAGCTTCTACATAATATATACCAAGAGAACTAATCTGTTTCTAGAAGAGGATGGAATACAGCAGATACCATAATAGTGGGGAGGACACTGAGTAAAAACAGTTTCAATAACTGTTGGGAGGACCTTGATTTCACACTGTTCTTCTAGAACATGCTTAGTTTTTACCTTTGCTGTGCTGTTTTCATAGACTGCCATAAGCCTCTCATGCAAGTCAGGGGAAAAGGATGTGATCCTGTCATTCTCAGCCAAGAGCTTCAGTGTTCCTTTCTCTAAATGTGATATAATTCTGCCAAGAAAAACAACAAAAAGAAGAGGAACACTCCACTATATTGTTTAGATGTGATCTTTCAGTTAAAGCCTATTCCACCGGATTCCTAATCTCTAATACCCATTGATAAAAGCCAACATATATACTAAAGTCATTAGAGAAGGAAGTTCCTGGATTTCTTTTAGTTTTGATGGCACTAGAAGCAAAAACACCATCTCCAAACACAACAGAAAATACCCTTCTATAGAAGTAGGGCAGCTGTTCAACTGGAACTATCTGTCAATTACCGTATTTTTTGCACCATAACACCCACTTTTTTCCTCCTAGAAAGTAAGGGGAAATGTCTGGGCGTGTTATGGAGCGAATGCCTATGGGTGGCGGGGGGGATCTGCTGCAGTCGTGAGCAGAGGATCCATGGTTCCCCTTCCTTCCCTCCTCTGTGGCTCACTTTGAAACAGCAAAGCGGGAGAAGAGCCGCTGAGTGGGGAGGAGAGAGGGACAGAGAGACTGCTTGCTTTAAAGGAGCAAAGCGGGAGAGGAGCTGCTTACACAAGTGTAAGCGGCTCCTGTCCAGTTGGCTCCTTTAAAGCAAGCAGGCTCTCTGTCCCTCTCTTCTCCCCACTCAGCTCGCTAAATAGCAGCAAAGTTTTTCAGCTCGCTAAGCCGGGGCTGAGCGGGAGGAGGGAGAAAAGCAGAGCCTGCTTGCTTTAAAGGAGCAAAGTGGGAGAGCAGAGGAGCCTTCTCCCCTTATACTCCTCTCCTTCATTATTAGCAGCATCCTTCTCCACACACCCCATGCGTGCTCCTTGTCCCTTGAGTGCTTTTCCTTCCTCCCCACTTAAAACGTGGTTACAAAGCACGGATCCACATGGATCCTCAGGATTTTTGCACTGGGTCACCCCAAATTCACCATCAGATCACATAGCACGTCCATGGCTACATCTTGCACCAAAAAAATCACGCACCCACTGTTGCCTGGGGCCGCGGTGGTGCAAAAACGTGGTTACAAAGCATGGATCCACATGGATCTTCAGGATTTTTGCATTGAGCTACTCCAAACTCACTGTCAGATCACATGTCTGTGGCCACAGCATGAACCACAAAAATCATACATCCACTGTTTCGTTTAGAATATTTTTTTTCTTGTTTTCCTCCTCTAAAAACTACGTGCGTGTTATGGTCTGGTGCGTGTTATAGAGTGAAAAATACGGTAATAGATGACAGAACCCAAATTTTCAAACTTAAGGATATGTTAACAGTGTGCAATGTGATGCAAGATATTCCAACTTATTATAGCAATAAACCAAGCACTTCAGAGTGCAAGTATATGTACACTGGTGAGAACAACCTAAGCCATTCAACTTACTGAAACTGATAATCCAAGACTTTCACAGCAAAATAAACACAGTTGTGTACACTTCGAAAGTGTTGCCTCTCTACTGCATCTGTAAACGAAACAAAACAAAAATTTAAATCATCAGACAGAAAGCTGCAAGTAATCCCTGTGGTGGAAGAACTGGTTCTCTGCAATAACTCCCCCCACCCAAAAAAAAAACCACAGGCAGATCAGCCACTGGTCACCAACAGATCACAAAATCCCTACCTTTATTACTTCTCATTCATCTCAAATACCAGAAGAACGTCAAACATCAATTAGGTTGTGTCAATTTATCAGCCTGTTTTGGGGAGCAGTAACATAAAATTAAAGACTGTCCCCAACAATAAAATATGTCAAAAGTACATTATTCTTTATTCAAAGTTCAAGCTTAACTTGGGGTATTTTTTTTGCCATGTGTGTGTGTGCACGCATAATCCACATTTTCATGAAGACACTTATAGACATATCTCAAGGGAGGAGCAGCTTCTTTCTTTCTTTTTTGAAACATTGACATCAAGAATTCCTGGCAGCAAGATCAAATACTGTAGTTTTACTACATTTCTGGATGTAAATTATCCACAGACCCTGCAGTTTTACAGAGTAACCTGGGGGGGGGTAGTACCACTTAAGTGCACAATCATGATTGCTTATATGTTAGTTGCAGTGAGAATGTTAACAGCTGAAAAGATGGGAGGGGAGGGAAATGCGAACATTACACGAGTGGAAGAGTACCATATAGCATTGTATATAAATGTCTATGTATTTTAAGGTGATATGGGAAGAGGGTTACAAAATTGTATACTTTAGAACAATGGGGCAAATTTGTTCAGTACTGGAAGCATAAGAATAAATACCAAAATATAAGGGTAAAGTACTCCTAGACATTACAGTATGATAATGTCTTATGTGCATGTAGCTTGCATGATTTTAACCATACATATATACTCAAATCTAATGCACACCTCAATTTTCAGAACCTTGAAACAAACAAAAAAAGTATTTGCTGGCGAATGTAAATGTGCCACTGAATCTAATGCGCACCTTAATTTTCACAACATACTGTATTTTTCGCTCCATAGGATGCACCGGACCATAGGAGGGGGAGAACAGGGGGAAAAATTTTTTTCTTGTTCTCCCCCTCTAAAACAAGGTGCGTTCAAGGTACATTCACCAGAGCTTGTGGGGCTGGCGGTGGGGGGAAGCGCTGCTTTCCCCCACCACCAGCCTCAAAGATCCCTGAAGCCTTTGGAGCGCAGCGCCCCGCTGCCCTGCAGAGGTTTGCGCGCAGCCGTCCCCAAGCTAGAGCAGCGAGACGGAGCCCTCCATCTTGCTGTTCTGGCTTGGGAACAGCCTTGCTAGCTTCTGCAGGACAGCGGGGTGAAGGCACCCCGCTGCCCTGGAGAGGCCGTGCGCGCAGCCATCCCCAAGTAAGAGCAGCGAGACGGAGCCCTCCGTCTCGCTGTTCTGGCTTGGGAACAGCCTTGCTAGCTTCTGCAGGACAGCGGGGTGAAGGCACCCTGCTGCCCTGGAGAGGCTGTGCGCGCAGCCGTCCTCAGGCTAGAGCAGCGAGACGGAGCGCTCCGCAGTACTCAGTCTTTCTGTTCTGGCTTTGGGCTTAGCGGCGCAGCCTGCATTCGCTCTATAGGACGCACACACATTTCCCCTTAATTTTTGGAGGGGGAAATGTGCGTCCTATAGAACGAAAAATACGGTAATTTGCCCAAAAAAGGTGCGCATTAGATTCCAGTAAATATGGTAGTTGAAATCGCACAAGTGAAATGTAGAGCCAGTACACATAGAGGGCCTTGCTTCCCAAGCATGGCAGAGATATTTGAAGCTCTTTTTGCACCAGGAAAATCCAGCACCAAAACAGTTTTTATGCTCTCTGTGCACTAGGTTTGGAATGCTCCTGTGAGATCTCGCAGGAACTTGGAAAAAGCACCCTGGGGCTTCTGAAGGCCTTGCTGGGGAGCAAGGCAGAGCACTGGGGAAACCCAGTGCAAAAGAGCTCACTGCTTTGCTGGAGTGGGGCAAGGCCCTCTCCAAACAGTGGTTCCAGATGCTCGAAAAGGGCCAGTTTCAAAGATTTGAGTATACGGGTTTCTGCGTATACAGGAAACCCTTGGAACCAATCCCTGCATAAGATGTGACCTTATCATATTTTTTAAAAATGGATATAAATGGAAACCTCACAATTTTATTTGCTTTATATACACATAAAGTACTGTATACAGTGGTACCTCGGGTTACATACGCTTCAGGTTACAGACTCCGCTAACCCAGAAATATTACCTCGGGTTAAGAACTTTGCTTCAGGATGCGAACAGAAATTGCGTGGTGGCAGCACGGCAGCAGCGGGAGGCCCCATTAGCTAAAGGGGTGCTTCAGGTTAAGAACAGTTTCAGGTTAAGAACGGACCTCCAGAACGAATTAAGTACTTAACCTGAGGTACCACTGTACAGTGATCCATGTGTGATGGACTGAATTGTTATATCCTTAATTTTGAGCCGCTGGTACTCTGTGGAATTTCTATTACATTTTTTAAATTCATTTTACATTTAAAATTCATTAAATGAATGAATATATTTAATGTATACCCTCCTCTAACTCTGTTTAGCAGGTGGTACAATCTGTATTTTGTTAATAGCCAAAAATCTTTATCCAATCTAAGTCCCAACCTTTATACTCTCCATTGAAACTCAGGTCATTCTCTCCATCTTCTAAAGAGGAAGTTCCCTTGGATGTTAGCAACTGGAACACAAAAAAGATCTCCAAGAAGATATTTGGCACAAGGTTTTCTGCAAAGAAAGTAAAGGAACAGGAAAACATGCAAAAGGACCTTTGGTTTGTACTTGTACCCTGAATGATAGGACTAATCACATTAATTTTTAAAACCTGAACTATATAAGATGCATTTTTAAAGGAAGATAAAAATATCTACAACTAAAAAAAATCATCTGGATGTAAGCAAAAAAGTGCTTAAATACTTAGGATTTTTTAAAAAAAGGATATAGAATTCATTGCTTTCCTTTGTACAACTCCCAAAACATTAAAATTATTTATCAGGGTTGGGAATTTTGTCATAAATTCTATGAAAGGTCAAAAATTGCCATTTGTCATACAATAGGAAAATCCAAGCCACGATATATTTGCGAAGTCAAGGCTCATTTAAAATTTCATTACTACTAAAAAAATTAATTTGAGGACATTTCTATGGGTCGCCATTCTTAGCATCCTCCCAAATCAATATGGACTGAAAAGCATCCACTGCCATTTCTTCACCTGCTATGCAAAATGAATAAAGTTGAGCCAGCTGTTCCAGCTGTTTCCTGCAGGAAACCTTGTTGACATCGGCAGAGGTTACCAACTGGTTTTCAGAGGGAAGGCTTGCATTCTGACTGACATTAGGTTTCATTGGTATGCCAGAATCCAGAGATAATCCTGTTGGTGTAGATGTGGGATGCAGCAACTTGGACCTGCAATTCAAAGGTATGAAATAAGAGTGGTAAGAGGAGACTGAAAAACTCCTACTCTGTTGTAGTATCCAGTGGGATTCTTTCAAATGCTCACCAATTCATCAAGAAAGCAATTTCTTCATTGAAACATAAAATGTTTCACAAATGCAATTTGCGACATGTTAAAACAGTTAAAGATCCTTCAGCATTATGGATCAAATTCTAATCTTAACACAGCACTTGTAAGATTGAAGGGTATCAAGCATAAAATCATATTGATGTGTGATTCTAGGAACATTGTTTGGCTTTAGCGTAGGATTTCTGAGCTAGTGAACCATGTTGCTGCAGAATGTGACAGAGAAAGCAACCATTTTTAATACAGTGGTACCTCGGGTTACATACACTTCAGGTTACAGACTCCGCTAACCCAGAAATAGTACCTTGGGTTAAGAACTTGGCTTCAGGATGAGAACAGAAATTGTGCTCCAGCAGCACGGTGGCAGTGAGAGGCCCCATTAGCTAAAGTGGTGCTTCAGGTTAAGAACAGTTTCAGGTTAAGAACGGACCTCCAGAACGAATTAAGTTCTTAACCCGAGGTACCACTGTATTGAAATTATAGCCCCTAGAAATATTACTTGTTTGTTCATTCATTCTTTATACCACATAGCTATGCAGTGTGCAAAAGCAAATCAATACGGAAAGCATAATAAAACGTGGCATGTTCACAAAAAGACAATATGGGCCATTCAGCTCTACTTCTCTAAGGCAATGTAAATCAACATTTCTCACATCACAGATGCTTCCCTTCACTAAGCACCCCATCACAGATTTCATAACGTACCGTTCCTTCTTCAGCATCTCTCTCTCCTCCTGAAGGCTACCCGAACTGGAAGACAGGGTCACTTCTTGAGAGATAACAAGGGCTTCAGGACTTGTTCCGGACTGAGACTGAAACGTTTGAGACTGGCCAACAGGAGTGGAAGTGAAGCACATCTTGGGCTTGGAGAGGGTTCGCTCAGCACTCACTGGAGTAGGGTTGATTCTTCTCGACGGTTTGGCTTTGCTGAAACGGGAAGTAAAACTGGATTAAGAGGATGAAAACACAACAGTGTATTATCCTTCTGCTCCAATCACCTGTGGGGAAGCCAGCTGATGACACATACTACTATGGTCCTGGATTCACTAACCAAGGGCTCATCCAGACTTCCTTTTGTGCTGCATTTCCAGGCATAGGTCTAAGCTTTAAAGCTCCGTGGCCAAGCAGTATTTTTTGTTTATTTGTTCCAGTGTTTTCCTCAGGAAAACCCAGATTTTAATGCTGGATCAAAGCAAACAACAGTGGAGCTTTCCAGAGATTGTCGTTTGCTCCTATTCAGCGGTAAAATGAAGGTTTTCACAGGGGAACCGCCTAGACAAAAAAACAAACAGCACTCAAGGCACAGAGCTTTAAAGCATAGACCTGTGCCTGGAGAGAGTAGCACAAATGGAAGTCTGAAGTGAGAAATCAAAGTATAAAACATGTAGTTTTACTAAGAAATAGTTCTGCTCCTCGTCCAACAGCAGGTTGAAAAGAGAGAAGCTGCTACCACAAGCTGCTATATTTCGGCCACAATATCTCTAGATATTGTCTGAGGTATTAAAATATCACAGAATACCTTGGTCAGAGTTCAGGCTTAAGAGTAATCAAACAAGCATATATCAACTTTAAGCATTATTTGGAGCATCTCAAGGCAAGGGAGGAGAACGGGACTTAAAACGATGGCATTTGGAAGGTGGCTGGCAAACAGAAGCCAAGGAGCGAAAAGGGGCATTCCAGGCCCCAGCACTGGGAGGGAGGAGCATGCCCAACTAATCAAGTGGCCACTGGGCTAGTGCTCCCCTCCAGAGCAAACCACTGAGACAGGAGCTGCCCACCTAGTGGGGTGGAACAGCATCAAAAGCCTCCCAGCTGGGGTGTCACGGCTGCTTACTGGGAAGAGAGAGGCCATGGCAAGGTCAGGGCTATGCATCCCTGTGTACCAGTGGATGCTCAGGATTGGCTCCATTAGTATGCCAGCACAGCCCTGAACTCATTGCCACCTCCTCCCCCAGAGCAAACAGCAGCAATGTTGCTGCCGGGAGGCTTACTGCTGTGGCTCCGCCCTCTGCCCACCTGGCAAGCTGCTCCTGCTCTGGGAGGGGCCATCTTTAGAAGTAGTACCTTCCTCCCATTTACTGATACAGAACGGTAAGCTGCAAAACTACTCTCTCAATAGATACCAGCGGGAATTGAGAAAGCTTCGCATCGAGACTTACTTTGCCATTCCAGCGGCACACATGAGCGGAAATTCCTCCAAGTCATTTAGGTTAAGCTGGTCAGGTGGGGAACTTGTAGAGACAGGGCTCACTTCACCTTGTTTCCTCTGCCTCAATGAACCCAGTGATGGACTGTCACCTTTTCCTTCTTCGTTCAAGCCTCTGCCCGCGTCTTGTGCCACTGGCCGGCCAGAGGCACTTGCAGAGCCGCTGCCTTTTCTTCTGCCCCGCCTCGCTGGGGTAGCAACAAGGAAACTCCCTAAACTTATTTTCTGAGCAGAGCGCCTCTCGTTGCGAGAAAAAATGGGGCTTGAACCAAAACTCGTGGTGGTGCCAGAATCCGTATTTAGGCATTCGTTGAAGGAACCCAATAAGCTTGATCCCGTAATGACAGAAGATCCATGTGATTCCAAGACAGAATTGCCGGTGATGGGAGTTGAATCAAAGAAAAGCTGCCCTCTACTACTGCCAGACCCTGCTATGCTACGAGACCTCCTTTCGGATCCCAGCCTTTGATTCCTGTAACTAGACGAACTTCCCAGGAGCTTGGAATTTGGTGCTTTAGCAGGAGTAGGTGGTCCATTGGTCAGTATCCGACTAGTCTGTTCCCTTAAATAATTCAGCAAAAAAGGCACAAAGTCTTTCTGAAGCAAGTTCAGGAGGGATAGCTTGGGGTGGACTTGGTTTTCCTACACACACAAACAAAACAAAACAAAGTTAATATAAACTTGATTTAAAAAGAAATAGAGGGACAGCGGATATAAAGTAACTGATATTTTACCATTTTTATAAGAATAAGGCGGTTATGAACATATAAAGCAAAGTGAACCAATCTGAAAACATTAACCCCATTCAAAGCATCTAAAACCAGGAAGCAAACAATTGATTAAAGCAGGGAACTTATTTTTTCTCACACATGATTTACTACTGTACTTACTAAGTTTCACCATTGTTGTAGCCAGAGACTTTATATAATCATTTAGCTATATAAAGATAGACATTCATCCCTAAAGCTTGGAAATTTTAGTATGATCCTAAGCACATTTACCCAAAAGACCTAATAATGAATCAAATGGGATTACTTCCTAGGCTGTGGGCTTAGGAATGCAACTTTAATGCAGTACCATACTACTCAAAGTGGATGCTGATCCACAAAACATCGGCTGCCAGTCCAGTGACTCCACCACAGCCCGTGTTGGGTGCTACACTTCAGGGACCAAATATGGTAGTGGGCCCTGGCACACTGGGGGGAAAATGGTGGTCCGCATCAGATAGTTTTAGAGTAACAGTTGTAGTACATTGCACAAAGTGAGAAATATCACTAAGCAGGAGGTACATTGCCCTCTAGTGTTCCTTAGCAAAATTACTTCCATGCTGAACTGGTGATAGAAGATATACGGGCCTCATTTAGACATAATGTTGAATCATGATTTAGCATTACAAAAACCCTTGTAACTTATCCATCTACCATTCCAGCATGACTGAAAAAATAAGCTTGGAAACATTTATTTCCGTTTTAGACTAACTGCATCTTGTCACATCAAGCAGATCTAAACAAACAGTTGTTCATCTCAACTACTGTTTGTTTAAAAAATGCCAACTTTAAAGCATAATTTATAAAGCTGATTTGTTTCAACAAACCATAGTAAAGATTTGCAATAGTATAGAGTTTGAACAACACTCTCCCTATATGAACGGACCCAGACCCTGTGCTCATTATCACGTAACTTCTCCAAGAAAGGTCTGGAGGGTGGCAGCATGAGAACGGGCCTTTTCTGTGGTGGCTATCCACTTGTGGAATGCTCTCCCCAAGAGGACTTGCCCAGCACCTTCATTACATTCATTCATTCATTCATTCATTCATTCATTCTATAGGCACCAGACAAAAACATTTCACTTTTCCCAGGCCTTTGGCTAATTAAGCAACCTACGGCCTTTTCTACTGGGGAGTATTGTTTTTGTTTGTATGTAATAAACGACAACAGCACTACAATAGAAACATAAGCTTCCAGTCTCCTCACAATGGAACAGGAGGTGGGGTGAGAACACATGAACCCAATACTCACTGTAGCTCATTTTTCTAACATTATGCCATAACATTTAGCATTACCTCTGAACTCAACCACTGAACCATGATTCTAGCAATTTTCATGCAATGCTTATTTTTTTTTATCTTGATCATACAATGTGACCATTAGGTGCAATAACTAGATCTTCCCCATCAACTACTGGTTAGCATCTTCGCTTTGGCGGGGGGGGTGTGTGTGTATTTTTCATTTAATTGAACCAAGACAGAAGAAGCGGCTAGTTCCCATCTTCCAGCCATACACCAAAGGTTGTGAGTGAGAACATTTTCACAAGTAATACAAAAAGTTTTAATCTGAAATTCATCGTTATGAATGCAGAGCACAGAAAACAGAAACGAACCACTTTGGAATCAGGTATGCACAAGTTAGCATATGAAAACAAATACAAAAATATATTCAAACGCTACTGACCCATTTCACACTAACAGGCATTCATCAGACATAAAATTAAGTGATTTAGACTTCAGTCCTATGCATGCTTAGCTAGAAGCCCCGATGAACTAAAAGGAGTTCCTTTCTAAGTAGATCTACACAGAACTGGCCTGCTAATCATCACCTAGGAATCCCTAGCCCTATACAAGATACTAGAGGGAGGGAGGATATAGTATGTGGAATCTGTTGCTTTAGACAGCTTCGTGCGCACTCTGAACCCTGATCGTTTGTTTCCCAGATGCTTATCCAACACCGTGCTTCAGGTAGACCAAAGACTGAAACTTTTCGATGAAGTATAAGCCTGCTCTCCTGTGTACGAGTCCCCCCTCCACGATATTTTGTGCATCCAAACCGCTTTGAAAATTATAGTCGTTCACACATGTGCAGAAGAGAGGCGTCAATGTGATTTCGACTACGGCTGAAATCCTCTGCACGGTTATTTGCAACTTCCAACGAATTCCGTAGGTCTTGTTTCTGAATCATTAAAGCTGCATATGGGAAGGACTCGTAAGGGCGCACAGCAACTCAGTCCCACAGCAGGGCTCGCAGGTTCAGGGAAGGGCTCCCTCAGGGAGGCACATACATACACCTGGGCTCCCGAAGAGCTACCAAAGAGCCCTTCAGGAGCTCACACAGCGCAGGCCTGAAGGCTGCAGCTTCCCACTTAGCATCCCGCCAGAGGATTTTTTTCCTCCCGCCTCCCTTTGGGAGCGCAGAGTTTTGAAGGCCGGCATCAACTCCGTTTCCCCGGAAACTTCCCGCTCGAACCGAGGGCGGGGTGAAGAAAGGGCGGCGCTGCGCGTTTTACCTCCACGGCGCAGGGACTCTGGCTCGCCTTCAGCCACCGCACGACAGCGCTGGCTGCCACCTCGTCCTGCAGCAACAGCTCCAAAACAGCCGCCATGCCCACCTCTCACCTCCTCCTCTAGCACTACCGCGCGGGCGAGCCTCCGGGGCGGGCGCGCAAGGAGCGTGGGCACCACCCCTCGCCGCCGTCCCAAAAGCCGCCAAAAAGCCCTAAAAAAAACAACAACCCCCACACGGGGGGCGTGTTCTAATTCCCTTCTAACTCCGGGTTAGAGCGCAGCACGTGGAGGATGGGTGGGGAAAGAGAGAGGAGGCGGGCGGGCGGGCGCACTGATAGAACGCCAGGCGCGGGGGCCGCCAGGGAGAGCCAGCGCGCGCCCCACCCCGGACGCTCGCGGCCACCGCCGTCCCTCCCTCCCTCCCAGGGAAGGCGGGATTAGAGCAAGCGCCCGGGCAGCAAGAAGCGCGCGCGCGCGCCGGCCCTGCCCTGGATCCCTCAGAACCGCCAGTCTCTGGGGAAGTGGGCGTGGCTTCAGAACTCTCAGGCAGCAGAGGCCGCCGCCCGGCAAGGCTTCCCATTGGGAGGCGCGAAGTCTTTAGTGGGCGGGGATTGGCGCAAATGTAGGCAGGGCGGGCTGAGAGGAGGAGCCGCCGCCGAGGAGCAGCGGCACCAGCAGCGTTTCCTCTCCCCCCCTCCCCTCCCGTGTCAACAAGCGGGGCGCCTGCGCCGGGGGTTTGCGCGTCTTTTCCTCTCATGCGCGGTATTTGCTTCCCGAGTCGGGCCCGGGGTTTGGCCTAGAGCCGGCGGCGCGCAGAGGGCGCAGCGCGATCGGGCGCAGCGCTCCGGCCGCAGCGGCTCCCGCCGGGCGGGCGATCGGTCGGTCGGTCCGCTGGCTCAGGATGGCGGACGACTCCCCGAAGCGGCGCAAGGCCAACTTCAACGAGGCGGAGACGGAGGTGCTGATCGAGCAGGTGCTGAAGCACGAGCAGGTGCTGTTCGCGGCGGGGCCCGGCCGGGCCTCCCCGGGGCAGAAGCGCAAAGTGTGGGAGCTGATCCGGCACAAGGTGAACCCGGTGGCCGCCTGCCCGCGCGAGGTGGAGGACCTGAAGAAGCGCTGGCGGGACCTCAAGCGCCGCGACCGGAGCAAGCTCTGCCGCGTCACCCAGGGGCCCGTCCCGCACCCGGCCTCGCTCGGCCTCCTCATGGCCGCCGAGGACATCTCGCCCCCCGACCACCTCCGATCCTACGCCCCGGGGATGGCAGCCGCCGCCGCCGCCGCCGCCGCCAGCGAGGCGCTGCCCATCGTCGGCGGCATCGACACGCTCGACTTGCCCGGAGCTGCCGCCGCCGCCGCTTCGGTGGCGGAGATCGGTGAGTAGGGAAAAGAGGGAGGCGGGCAGCAGGGAGCCCCTTTCTCTGGTGCGATCCTGCCTTTCCCGCCGGCGCAGGTCGGGGCTCCTTCTCTCACAGCTGGTGCCTCGTGTATGGGCTGCCCTCCTCACCCCACAAAACCTGGAAGCGGGGCGAGGGACCGCTCCCGTCCTCTCCCCGCTGCAGAGCTTTCCGTGCTGTGCCTTTTCTCTGTCCTCACAGCTTTTGGAACAGTTGCAGATGCTCAGGATCGCTCGCCATATCCCATCCCCGCTTTCCCCATTGACTGGGATTGCGCCATAAAAAGTATCAGAAAGCTTGCCCCGAGGATAGGTTTTTAGGGTCCAAGAGTCGGCAAGTGGGCCTTTCTGTTGTGAAGGATGCTTTCACAACGGGACAAGCGAATTATATGCTAAAGTTAGTGAGTCACTTGTGAACATAAGTTATCTAACTCAGTCTCCTCTACACTTACAGGCAGGGGTGCTCTGTCTCGGAAGTTTCACACTGGAGTCTTTTGTTGTACTACTCCAGAGATTCTGGGGACTGAACCTTATCTATTTTTTGGCATATATTATATATTGCCCTTTTTACCTTTTGCATGCATACCATGTGCTCTGCAGTCACCCTTCTTGTGTTTTAATGTTAATCTGGAGAAGGTGGAAGCAAGTCCATTTTAATTCAGTCTCCACTCTAGCTGAAATAAACATTGCATTGTTTCAAAGGCCAGGAAACTAAAAAAGCAATTTGCATATTACTTATGAAAAATAGACCTTTGGCCTATTAAGGTGCTTGCCTATTTGTTTTTTCAACTTTTCATTCCAAGCACAGTCTTCTAATACTCTTCACTTTTTTTTGCAAATGTTATTTGCTATTAGGTACTCAGAACTTCAATCTATGGGCATGTCTATGTGCAATATGTCTAGTTTGCAGCTTCAGTTCAGAATTTGAAATGCCTGCAGCGGTATACAAAACGAGGCAGCGTTTTTCGCCACCTTCCCCGTTATAGATTGTCAGTCATTTATACTTAATCAATGTGATGACCAGCAAGGGGTTTTGGATAGGTGCTGAGCATCTTTTGTCCGCCCGCCCGCCCCCCATTTGTATCCCACCTTTCCTCCCAACTGGTCAGGATAGCACACATAGGGTGGTCAGATTTGAAATGATCTCACTAATTGTTGTCCTGTTCTTTGTTTCCTACATGATGCTAGCAAGGCATTCCGTTCAAAAAGCTCCTTCATCCCATTGAGAGTTTTGCTTCTTTGACACAATTGTGCATATATTTCTTTTTAAAAGGTGGGGAACTGTCTAATAATAACTGGGTTAATCTTAATCACAGACCAAGGCATGATACATAATTTAGCTGAGGAATGCGGAACCTTTTTGACCCTATGGGCCAATTTTGACAGATGGGTTGGACAGTCTGTCAGTCACCTGACATAATGATGGCAGATATTGACAGGTGGGTTGTCTCACCCACCTGCAAAAATCCCTTGCACAAGGCTTCCAGAGTGCCCAGCAGCCTGGTTCTTGGGAACTGCACCACAAACGACTTAGCCAGCCCTATGTTAGCACTTGAGAAGCAAGTACCAAACACAAGGCTGGCAAAGCTGCTTTCTGCAGGGATTGGCTCAAGTGCCACATGGGAAAACATAGCTAGTGGTACCATTGAATATCAATGTCTCTTAAAAAATTATTAGAAGTGGTTTTTAAGTCCTTGAGCAGAACGGATGTCTTGTGCAACTTTTCTTCCTCACAGCTGTTGAAATTTGGGAGGGGGCTCCAGCACAGATGGGGGGCAAGGGGCAAGGGCTATCGCAATGGCAGGTGTCACCTAATTAGCAGACACGTTTCATGTATTTCTTAATCACCAGTTGAAGCTAAAAACTCAATAAAAACTCTGTAGTCTAGAGATAAATTTAGGCAACATTTTATGTGGTTATGATAGGCTGGGAGCCATAAGCTGAATTCCCAAAGAAAGTGAAGTCTAACCTCTTTTCTCCCCCTCCTCTATTACCTTTTTAGGTTTTACAGATGATCCAGGCCCATCCCACCAGCCATGTGTGGAGAAGATGAATCTAAAAGAAGAAATAGTAGTCAAAGTCGTGGAGCCAGAAGAAAGTTCAGAGGACATGTCTGTAGTTCCTCCTAGCCAGGAGCCACTCCCTTTTTTGAGGTTGCCAAACGGAGGCCCCTGTGGAAAAGTAAAAGCCAAAACAAAAACTCAGCCCCAGATAGACCCCAGTGAAATTACAGAAGAGGATCTCCTGCAGATCCAGCAGAACCAGCTCCACATCATCCAGTCTGGCTTTGATACAATCAACCATAATCTCCGGCTGCTGCAGCAAGGCATGCAAGATCTCAACAACAGCCTCAGCATGGCAGCACATACTTTAGTGGCGATTAAAAATGTCTACGTGAAAAACAATGCTGGCCCAACCACCTTTGCTACGGTGGCTACTCAGACCACCTCGGGGTACTTGAGCCCTGGGTCCCCACTGGTGGAGGACAGAGTCAGAGCACCAATGGCTGGAAGCAGTAGCAGAAGCAGCAGCTGCAGCTCCAGCTCCATGTCGCAAGAGCCAGGCCCTTCAGAATTCCCCAGGCCCCCCCACAGAACCATTAAGAAGGAGCATCCCAATGGCTGTTACTATTTCTGTTTTGCAGATGTGTAAGACTTGAATACGACGTTACTTGAGAAGGGGCTGTTTTGTACCCCACTCAAGAGTGCGTCGTCATCACAGAGCGGGCTTGCCTTGCCGCCGTCTACACTGCTAAATCTGTAAGAGCTCCACTCTTGCCAGTTGGGGAAACCTTACATTGTAGGAGGCATAATGCTAACTGTTTTTACATTGATTTATTATGGGCTTGTATTTTAATTGTTGTTGGCAACTCTGGGCAATGTGAGTGCATTGGAAGGGTGGGGTATAATTTTTTTAAAATAACTACAGCTCTTAGAGCCCAGTCCTATCTAGGCCTACTCAGGACTAGTGCCCAGTGCGTAGGATTGCAACATTAGTAGTTATCCAGTAGGTTCTGCAGCCGGTTGATACGTCTTACATTGCATCTCCCCTGCTTTCTTTGCCAGTGGAGGAAGAGGAAATCTTGACTCATCTAGATCTTCCCGGTATTAATTTGACCTTTTAAAACAAAGAAGTATGAAAAGGGAGCAGCAAATTTATCTAGTATCTGGGACAGAATTGATCATACGTTCTGTTTTTATTTTTTAGCCAACCTAACTGCAGATTAGTGAGAATTTAGTACTTGATTGTACTTTGTTAAAAAACAAAGAAAAGCTGCCTAATACTACTACTACTGTAAGGAGCACATGGAGTTTATCTGTTGTGGGATTGGGAATGAATGTGGGCGCTGAGCCACAAGCAAAGTGCTTTAAATTTTCCTTGCTCGTCATTCTTCGTTGCTCATGTCCAGCTCCTCAAAATGCATCTTCCCTGCTGACAACATGCAGTCGTGGGGAGGCTGCCTTATGTTGCATAATTAAAGAAAATTTTCCAAAAAAGAAAGAAAGAATCCGAGTGCTAAATGTGCATCAGTAGAGTGAAACTGCTCCCTGTAAGGTTATGTTTGGTACTTAGATGCTGCAAAACACATTATTGGACCCCTGTTTTGGATGTAGTTTGAAATAATGATTTAGCAGTGCCTGATTGATCAGCCGCAAGCCTCCATCTCACACCCTCCACTGGATTATTTTATTAGTTCTGATCTGGGATTACTAGTTAGTTTAACGTATGCCCGGGATCATAAAGCATGGCTTAAGCCTGTAAATAAAACATTAGCATTCCCCGTTCATATACTTCCCCTCCAGGCTGTGCCAGAGGTACTGCTGAGCTGTGGCCCACAGCTTCTTCTGTTTTACTTTGGAGATATTTGAAATTGTAAGTGGAGGAAGAGCCTGTACATGGCATTTCCATGTAGGCTGGGAAAGATTCCTACCTGAAACCTTGGTGAGAGAGCTGCTGTCATTCCTCAAGCTTGATGGACCAATCATCTGACACAATATAAGATAGCTTCCTGTGCGCATTTGTTTTACAATATTTCCCTTAAGATACTGAAATAGTGGTTGCTGGGAGGAGCAGAGGTCCATGAATGCACAGAGTAGTTTTATCTGCTATTGTAATAAGAATAATATTTTTAATACAGTGGTACCTCAGGTTACAGACGCCTCAGGTTACAGATGCTTCAGGTTACAGACTCCGCTAACCCAGAAATAGTACTTCAGTTTAAGAACTTTGCTTCAGGATGAGAACAGAAATCCAGCAGCGGGAGGCCCCATTAGCTAAAGTGGTACCTCAGGTTAAGAACGGACCTCCAGAACGAATTACTGTATCTACTCGAGTATAAGCTGAGTTTTTCAGCATATTTTTAATGTTGAAAAAGCCGCCTGGCTTATACTCGATTGAGGCGGGCGGCGGTGGAGGGATGAGCAGCAAGAAAGGAGCCCTGCGCTGTGCCTCTCCCAACTGGGCTCCTATGCCTGCTCTTGGGAGCAGCAGAGGCAGCGGCGGAGGGATGAGCAGCCCAAAAGGAGCCCTTTTGGGCTGCTCCCTCCTACTCCGCCTTTGCCCCTGTTGGCGGAGGAGGAGCGAGCAGCCTGAAAGCAACCCTTTTGGGCTGCTTGTTCTTCCTCCTCTTCCGCCGCTGTCAGCAGCGACAGAGGAGGAACGAACATCCTGAAAGCAGTCCCTTCGGGCTGCTTGTTCTTCCTCCTCCGCTGGCGCCGCCACCAGGTTTGTGGTATGGTGAACCGGCTTATACTTGAGTCAATAAGTTTCCCCAGTTTTTTGTCCTAAAATTAGGTGCCTCAGCTTATATTCGGGTTGGCTTATACTCGAGTATATACGGTAAATTCTTAACCCGAGGTACCACTGTAATACATTTTTTCTGCCATTGTAATAATAATAATAATTTATTATTTATACCCCGCCCATCTGGCTGAGTTTCCCCAGCCACTCTGGGCGGCTTCCAACAAAATATTCAAATACAGTAGTCCTTCAGATATTAAAAATTTTCCTAAACAGGGCTGTAGATATATGGGACTGTTTTCCTTGGATGTATAGCTATATCACTAGGTCTCAAAGCCGACAGCCTACCAGTTGGGTGCTGATTGGAAAGGAAAAGGTATTGCATTCTGAAGCCTTTGCTCCATGGAAGACTGAAGGAGACAGGAGCAACTTTATCAACACCAGATTTAGAATATAATGTATACAGTGGTACCTCGGGTTAAGAACTTAATTTGTTCTGGAGGTCTGTTCTTAACCTGAAACTGTTCTTAACCTGAAGCACCACTTTAGCTAATGGGGCCTCCTGCCGCTGCTGTGCCGCCAGAGCACAATTTCTGTTCTCATCCTGAAGCAAAGTTCTTAACCCGAGGCAATATTTCTGGGTTAGCGGAGCCTATGTAACCTGAAGCCTATGTAACCTGAAGCCTATGTAACCTGAGGTACCACTGTATTTCAAATTTAATATACAAATAAAAATAAATATGACATAACATAATTTATGGAGAAAATGAGGCAGATGGTAAGCCACTTTAAGATGGATACTTTATGAATTTTGGTTGAAGAAATATTGTTAGAACAGAACATCTGTGCATTGCCAGTGGTAATAGTGTGGTCCCAAAGTGTTTCAAACACATTACACACAATCATTTCCTCCTTTTACTTCTGGGCTGGCTCTAGAGATTCAACCACAGTTTGTTTCTCAGTATCAATATTAATAAATGTTTTTGATGTAATTAGGCTTCTGTTAGCATATGCTAATCTCATTTTTAAAAAATGCAACACCCTTTGTCTCAAGTTACCATATTTTTCGCTCTATAAGATGCACCAGACCACAAGACGCACCTAGTTTTTGGAGGAGGAAAACAAGAAAAAAAAATATTCTGAACCTCAGAAGCCAGAACAGCCAGAGGGATCACTGCGCAGTGAAAGCAGCAATCCCTCTTGCTGTTCTGGCTTCTGGTATAGCCATGCAACCTGCATTCGCTCCATAAGACGCACACACATTTCCCCTTACTTTTTAGGAGGGAAAAAGTGAGTCTTATAGAGCAAAAAATACGGTACATATTGGGAAATGTGCAAACACCCCTCCCCAAAAAAGAACAAGTCAGTTTAGAGCTGAGTGGAGGAAGCAATGTTTTGTGCAACCACATCCTTACAATGTTGTATGGGAACAATTATTTGCAGCAGGGGGGTGCTGTACATTCCTTCAGAGGCAGATTTAGAGGAGCGTGACCGGATTGGGCACAACAGAACTTGTGAGGCAGAGGGGTGCTGAATTTTGGCATCGTACAGGGTGCCGCTCAAATTTGAGACTCCAAGATCCACCACCGATTCCTTAAACCAACGCCTTAAGCCTCCAGGTGGCTTTTACCTGTCCCCTGCCTTGTTGCTATGAAACACACAAATAATCTGAGACAGATGTTGATGATGGAACAAAATCAGCATGGATGTTTAGCCTCTTGCAATTACAGATTGAGTAAGAATTTCGGGACAAGACAGTTTAACTCTCGTGTGATAATGAAATGACCCTGTGGACTGGAGGCAGCCAAATGTCCCATCTTCAAAAAGAGGATCAGGCAACCACCGACCAGTCAGTTTGATGTCAGTACCAATAAGGGTCCCAGAACACATAATGAAGCAGTTGGTCTGCAAGCACTTAGGATTAGCAGCTCTTTGTAGATCACAAGCTTAGCATGAGTCAACAGTGTGATGCAGCAGTGAAAATAGCTAACACAATTCTAGGCTGCATCCACAGTAGTAGTGCCCAGATCAAGGATAGTAATAGTACCTCTCTATTCTGCCTTAATCAGGCCCCAACTGGAGCACTGTGGCCACACTTGGACACCACATTTTGAGAAGGATATTGACAAAGGGTCTGGAAACCAAGCCTTACGAGGAATGCTTGAGGGAGTTGGGTATGTTTGGCCTGGAGAAGACTGAGAGGTTATACAACAGTCATCTTTAAATAAGGGAAGGGCTGTCACGAGTGATGGAGCAAGCTTGTTTGGGGGCTTTTGGGTTTTTTGCTGCTGCAGAGGGTAGGGCTTGAGCCAATTTATTCAAATTACAAGCAAGAAGGTTCCAACTAAACATAAGGAAGAACTTTCTGACAAGAGCATTTCTTTAAGTTTCAATTTCAGTAAGATATGAAGGAGCCAATATTCTCTTTGAATTATATGGCATTCTGTTCAGTTAGGGAACACGTCATCACTGCTGGTGCCGATATTGGATGGATGAGAAAGATGGGTGACCTCAGGGTGTTAAAAGTGATATATAGGGGGGATAAATACAGAAGGCATGAGTCTGGAAATTCTCTTCTGCATGATGTAACGCCACTCATGAGACTCACAACACAATCCTATACATAAATACCGGTAAGTACTCAAAAAGAAGTGTCATTGAGTTCAATGGGGCTTTAAAAAGACATGATTATAGCATTAAGAAATTAAATAGGGGAAAAAGTTAATTCCTTTTACTATCACACAGCAATACAGAGTGTTGAGTGCAGACATTATTTGGTTCTGCTTGCCCTTGTTTTTGGTGTTTGAATTTTGCCATAACTCATCCTTAGAACCTTCTGTAGCTGTTTAATTTATATTTGCCTAATAGTGGCAATCAACAGTTCAAGACAACCGTGGTTTTCATTTTCTTAAAAGATGCCAGACACTGCAGGCTTCAAGGGAGGGATCATGGCACACTAGACGTCTCCTGGCCATAAATCTTGGTTATCACATTATCTATGGGGGAACAGGGATAACAGGGTTTAACTTCCAATGCTCTGAAAGGCATGCTTTCTATGCCAAGGAACCAGTAAATTTTATTTTAAATTATCCACCTCACTGATGAATGTGCTAATTGTGAAGTGAAGCTACCTTACGTCACTGTGAAAAGGGACTGCAAGGAATATACTGTTGGTAAGTAAAGACTAATATATTAAAAGCACTCAGCTTGGCAAAAATACTGTTGGACACCCCACTGACTGATGGCATTGTGCAGCAACTACTGGATGAGCAACCGAAAGAGCTCAAAGCTCAGATGTATAAAATGGTGAATAAAAGTGAACTAGACAAAGCTGAGGCTAAAGAAGACACAGAGCCTTCGGAAAATAATATTTATGGAGGACTGCCAGAACAGGAAAGTGGAATGGTGAAGCTGGAGACAGTGGAATGGCAGATTCTGGAGCTATGATGCTGGAGGAGAGGAATGAAACCATGTATGGAGAGATTAAGAAATATAATACTTTTATTATTTGTACCCCACCCATCTGACAGGGTTGCCTGAGTTGGCAGAGGTAGAGCTGGGAATGAGGATTCCACATACAATTTGCAGTGAATTCAGAGGGGAAAGCTTTCAAGTCTGGCAACACTCCTGGAAAAAGAATGGAAGAGGAAATGATAGGACTATTTTTTTATTAAAAAAAGGAAAACTAAGGAAAAGAGGAAATGGGATTGGAATATATAGAATTGAGTGTGGATTAATGAATATACAATAAGCAAGTAATTATGGATTACTGTT